TGGCAACAGTCCCTCGACCCAGCTCTAGACCGTAGTGAATGGCGTGACAACGATGTCGGTTTGCAACAATCTGAGAAGATCTTGACGGTTCATATGTGCTAACGTATCTTGTCAGGACAATGAGCTCATTGATGCAGTCCAGCGACTCGGGCGCCATTGGAAAGATATCCAGCGAGAGTACTTCCCAGAAAGGTCAAAAAACGACATCAAAAATCGGTGGGTTACTTGCAGGCAGGTTTGAGATGTCCCACTAACAATCTGTAGCTACACAGTTCTTGTACGGCGATATCAAAATCAAGGCATCACTCTCGCCAACGCCCCAAGCTCTCCATCTGATTGCAGCACACCAGCTCCAACAGCAAGCTACGCCGAAGACGACGGTTATCTCTCCCCTAATCCCACAGTGTATGATCCTCTACTACAGTTATCGTCACGGAGAGGGGATCGCCTTTCGTGGTCAAGCTACGACAACGACGCCTACTCAACATGGTCATCTCAACAAGCATGCTCCGTACCCATACCCCCCTCTGTACCCGATCCACGCATGCATCAACCCTTAACCGCTATGCCTCAATATGGATATGCTCAGCCACCACTGCTGTCCTCGAATGCACCGCCGTCATGGAATCAACCGAGCCCGTACATGCATCCTTCGTCACCCTCGCTACACACCGGCGCGTCCGCGCACCATTCCGTCTACGGTTATAACAGCCATCCAGTTGCCCAGCAACCAATACTATCTCGATCCGCGTCCTACACAGCCCCCACGGCCCAAGCCCCATATGTGACCATGCCACATGTGCCCTCGTGTACAGGATCTGGTCAGCAGGATTATAATGCGACAACATCGGCAATGTATCAGGATCCCAGAGATATTCAGCATTCTTACTACTATTCATGAGGCTGTGTAAAACCGGTCAATCACAGTGGGGAAAGGCGGATGGCATTGGGTGGGTGAGATTTGTGCAAGGCGGTTAAATAGAGAGTTTGGGCTTAGGGTCGGGTTTGGGTGCTTGTAAATGTTACTAGTAAGCTTGTACATGGAATCAAAGACATACACTTCTATTCTGCTCCCCGCACTTTTACCATTTCGTCGTCGCATATCTCTAACATTAGGCACCAGAAACCCAGGCGTTCTGTTTCAAAGATCGCATCATTTTGCTGCGTTATGGCACTACTAATCCACAGGCATGGGACGCGTTGAAAGAAAGATGTGCAGCAAGGTCTAGTTTGACGTGGCAGCCGATTGGCTAGCGCAACGCACAGCCTCGCGGCCCCGAGTACATGGAACGCCTCACGGAAGGCTAAACTTGGCTAATTACATGGTCCCCCCTTTACGTACCTCTACTCAACCAACGTCGCTGGTCGCCAATCCCCCGAAGCCCATTAGACAGACAGACACCTCAGGCAACCCATCTATCGGCCCATGGCGCCGGGAAGGGCTGCACCAAATCCAACCTAGGCCCACTTTCACGAACGGGAAACATGCGTAACAAAAATAAAAACCACTTGGTCCCAGTTTCTTTTGCTCCCAATCTGTTCTGGTCTCCTTTCTGCCTTGGGGACAGCCTAGCCTGACCCGTTGGTGCTTCACATGCATGCATACTACTTACATGCGTCGATGTAGGGACCCTTGCCTCGGTCCCACCCTTGCAACGTACGTCTGTACAAAAAAAAATCTCCACACAACGAGCGACAGGGGCATGTCCGCAATCTCGTTGCCTGGTTTTCTGACGTAGTATCTAGCTGCTAACTGACTTAGCCCGTTACCAGGCTTTCTCTAAACATTTCGGAGGAGGAGATGACATCCCATGAAATGGAGCTTGGTTTCTTCTTCTTCTTCTATAAGTTCCTCACTAACCACCATCGTCGGTCGACATTCCCAAGGAACAATCAACGGCCCTTTACAATTGATAGTATCTGATCATATCTTCTCAAAAGCTTCAAACCCTTGTCGAGGATCAAGTACATAGACCTGCCGATTCAGGGATGTGTACGCGGTAAGACTATATCCCTTGCTCCCTCCCCTTCACGGCCGTTATTGCCTTTTTGGGGGTCTTTCGAAACAAGTCACTATACATAACTACTCACGCGACACGCTGCTATCCCACAAACTGTAAGTACACAGCCCAAAGAAGCATCCCGAAACTAAATCTTCATGGCGCTTCCTGCTGTTGTCGGCCTAGCCGTGATTGGTCCAATCTTCCTTTAATGCTTGCGACTATGCGTATTCTATTTTCGCTAATGAGTTAGAAATCCTTGATCCCCTCATTCATCCTGTTGGTAATTCACTATTCCTTTTTGTACTAGCTTACTTAGCGAGAGCCACCGTTTTGCTTAGCGGGTCCTTCCCCCTCTTTGCTCCGATCTTGCCCCATTCAATCGCTGAAACACTCTGCCTTGAGTCTGGCCGATGATGAACTGATGGCATCGAGACGAAAAATAAGCCTCGTATTTTAGAGTTTGAGGCTTGTTATTCGGCACAGGTGTACAGTTACATTCGGTGTATGTTCAAGTGTGTATATTTAGACTGGATACTTGAGAAGATTGCGTAACCGGAGGCATGATTTCCAGTACTAAACTGCATATGAAGAGAGCATCAGTGGCTCCCAGAAGCAGATTTTCTTGTGTTTGTGAGGGGAAAGAAAGGCACGGACGGTCTCGGATAGTAACGTTGGATCTTTTTACTGAATCCGATGTTCGACAGGTGAGAACCACAAGTAGGTATACAAACTATGTTTTTTTCTTCTCTACTCTATTCTGTAAGCTTCGGTAATTTAGACAAAACACTTGCGCCATGTCATGATGACATGATCCTTACTAGCGTAGAAAATGCTTGTGCTCACGATCCACGCACTTACCTACCATACCAAGCGTAATACCCTTGCCTTCTTTTCCCACTAACCTTCAGTCAGAACTGCCGATTGACTAGGGGAAAAGGTTAAGATCTACAGGCAAAAAAACTGTTCAATCTGTGGACCATAGCGATTCGGCCCATTGGGCCAGTAGCGCATTGAGCGGGAGATGGAACTTGGCTTTACCGAAAGTCTATTGCCATTAGGACCGATCGGACCTGCTTTTGATATAGACCAACCATGTTATACAAAACTGTTGGTGAAACAGAGCCACTGAAGGCTTTATTAAGAGTAGAGTCTTAAGTAGAAGTAATAGAAGACTTCTCGTAATAAGAGGCTTCAAACTGAGTCTGATAAATGAGAAATATAGATAATGAATAATCGCTACTGTTGTTGGTAAGCTGTTATGTGCAGATGTTGACCTTACTTACCAACTGACTATCGTAGATTTAGATAACTATACTACTTAGCAGCTTTACACTAGCCTGTAAACTATCCAAGTTGAGATATACGATAGCATCTTGCATAGGAAGCTCTTTAGGATTCATTTCAGGATTACAGTGTTGATACTACAAGCGTTGCAAGTGAAATATCGTGATGTGGTGGGGTGTGCGGGAACTCTAGTATGTGCGCGGGAAGTATATTATGGTCAAACCTAGCTATTATCTTGTTGATCCCGGAACTGCCGGAGCTACCGGATGCAACATAAGAAGCTTCTCATAGCACCTCTGCACTCGCAACTTTCATATACAAAGTAGTATCTTGAACCTTTAGCCCTTCAAACCAATGTTTAGCCATCAGAAGATTTTGAAAGCCTTAGCTGGCACGTACGCGCTTATTAACACAACAACGTGAGACACAGTCGTATTCAATCGCGCTATACTTAGCATAGATCTAGATTGCTAACAGCTTGACAATCCCAGCCTCTACAATGGTATCCCAGGGCCGGACTTGCAATTTCGCAAAGACCCAGTTGGCTTGTTAGTATATACAGAGACAGGCTACGTTTCAGTGGTCATTCAGGATGGTACAGAGCCTTCTTTTCAATCAGTATTGCAACCGACATACTGACATTTCCATAGCTACGAATCTGACGCTTTGTTTCGCCGGCCCATTCTATGTCGCTCCAAATACAGTTAGTACAGTTGTGCGTAATGGGCCTACGATATATCCCTTGATTTATTGTCCACTAAAGTTATATAGGTCACTGGCGAAATTGTCTATGGTCCAATCATCGCATCCGATTTTCCAGGATTGACTGGAAGCAAAGAGCGTACGAAATACGACATTTCGTTCAGTCGTGGAACAGATGGCTTCCCATCTGGTACAAAGATCTTAAGTACTCAAAGTCTTGGCCATAATGGGACAGAGGAGCTTGCGCTATGGAGGAGTGTCACTTAATAATAAAAAGAAATGGAGAGTCTATATCTAATCCCAAGGGCGACCAGCCCGTTACACCTGGTAAGGATCACCTTCGGATCTCACCTGGCTCCAAGTCGGATCTAGATGGGCTGTCTCACTGGGTGAGTCTTGCGCAGTGAATGCTTACACGCGTCACATTTATCTTTCTGCGCGAACCCTAAGCAAAAATTCATAACTTGTGTGTATCTATAGAATACAGCATCAATGCTTTGTCCCAACTTACGCTTTTACCCCGGTTACGAGCATATCATGTTCTGCCCACAGAGGCATACTAACATGCGACTATAGAAAGATATTTATGGCTTGCAACGAAGACATAGCCCGCAAGTGGAGAACAATGTACGGCACGTAACTTACATCATATATTCACAAACCGCCATCTATCCTCGTGACTGTCATCTCGAACTTAGGTTCAGCAACTTCAACCACCGAAATCAACCAGCAGGGTCCCAGAAAGTCATAGCATCCGTACATTCTCAATAAATGCAGGTCATAAACGGAACTCGGATTTAGTACCATGACCGGGCTCGTCTATTGGTGGGTCAAGAGTCTAAGAAGAGGTGGGTAGCCGGCCATTGGCTAAAATTTGCATGGTACCCCAAAAAATTTTCCTTCCATTCGGACACCCTCAAAAAACAATCTGGCCTGTGGAATGGATAGCAAGCTACACTTTTTACAACAATTACTTTTCAAATTTGCTCTCTTCCATCGAAAGCAGTAACAGCCCGGCTAGCTCAATCGGTAGAGCGTGAGACTCTTAGTTATCACGTCCTAGTAGACACGATTGTTAAATCTCAAGGTTGTGGGTTCGACCCCCACGTCGGGCTTTCTTTTTGTCCATGTCTGTCCTGGTTTTCACATTAATAGTGAAGATGGTGGTGACGCGAATTTTTGTGTGGTGGATCTTAATTTTTTTCTTTGGCCGACCCACGCTAGGGTTTGACGAACACCACATCTAGAAGATTGATAATCCGAGGATTTTGAAGCTCTGCGAATGTATTCTCCAGCGGAGAATTGAATCCTTTGAATATTTGTGATGTATATACTCTATGTTGTTTGATGTGGGATCAGGAAACAATGCATAAGGTGAGAGATTCTGCTCTATATGAGATGAGTGCACCTAACATAGATGTATAGACAAAGAAACAATTAACACACTCTTTGCACATGATACGGAAGCTGGAACTATCCAGAAACCGGCATTTAGTGGAACGTGGTATAGTGCTCGCTGCAAATCTATGAAGATCAAACGAGAATTGATGGCAGATTTCTTATCGCTCAGAAGTTGTGAATTCCGAAGAGGATAGAAAAGAGAGAAAAGAGGTCCAAGCATATGGGTCAAAAACGCAGGACTAATACAATAAAAAAGTCTGTACGTGATGGTCGCTGTACTACCAGAAAAGAAATCGCAAATTACAGTTGGTTGGGCCTACGCATCCAAAGCCTGAGCTTGACACTGTAACAATGTTAGTATGTTGTGTACACTCAAAATTCGAATGGACATTGAAACTCACCATCTGCCAATAAACCCCCCTCTTCTTCAACAACGCCTGATGATCGCCCTTTTCCAACACCCGGCCACTACCCAGCACAAAGATGACATCCGCCTTCTGGATCGTGGCTAGTCGATGCGCAACAGAGATGATCGTGCGTCTACCCTCTCCAGCAGCCCGCTCAATGGCTTCTTGCACCAACTTCTCAGACTCAGAGTCCAGTGAAGACGTCGCTTCGTCCAGCAGAAGAAGTTTCGGTTGGCGCAGCAAGGCCCGAGCAAGTGACAGACGCTGCTTCTGACCTCCGGATAGCGACATGCCCTTTGGTCCAAGACGCTGGCTGTAGCCGTCAGGAAGCGAAACGATAAACTCGTGAATCTGTGCGTCGCGGCATGCTTGTTCAATTTCTTCATCAGTCGCTGTTTCAACGGATAGCGCGACGTTTTCTCGAATTGTGCCTTCGTACAGTGTGGGTTCTTGGCTGACGAGACTGATTTGTTTGCGGTACTCTGAGGGATCCAGAGTAGTGATATCTTGCCCGTTGCACAGGATGCGGCCAGAGGATGAGTCGTAGAAACGTTCGAGAAGCGATATCGTGGTTGATTTTCCGCAGCCGCTGGCACCAACGAGCGCAGCAAACTGGCCTGGTTGGATCTGGATATTGAGGTTCGAAAGAACGGGTGACTCCCTGGACGGGTAGGTGAAGTATACGTTCTGGAACTCTATGCCGACACCTTCTTCTGACGTATCGAGAGATGCGTAGGAAGTGGGCTTTCCGGTGTTTGTTGGGCGCATACCCAGAATGCGGTTGGCAGCACCACTCGCTTGAGCCATGTTAGGAGCGAAAGAAAAGAACATGCCCGCTGCCGCCGCGCCCTGTATGATAGCTTGATAGATGACAAAGAAGTCCACGTTGTCGTATTCGCGAGACGCCAGAAGTGTGCCACCATACCAGAACGTGAGCGCCATGCAAGCTAGTTCGATACTGTCGCTTCCTGCAAAGACAAGTGTGCCATACTTCGCGCGCGAGAAAGCACTTCCGACGTGGCTGCTCAGCAAAGTCTCATACCGGTCACCGATCAAGTCTTCCATTATGAGACTGATTACTGTTCGGAAAGCTCCCACAGCTTCAGCAGCAAACTGGCTACTGTCTTCGAACACTTTAGCGTTACTGGTTTCAAACTCGCGCTCCAGACGCATGCGGAGGTATCCTGCAGCTAGGATGAGCGGCAAAGCTGCGAAGAGGCCGACTAGAGAGAGCTTCCAGCCATAGACGAAGGAGATGATGATGCAGCCAACGAGGTTGACAACGGCAATGAGCGCAACGCCCATCTCTGTTGCCATCAGTTGCTGTAGTTGTGTTGTGTCTGAACTCACGCGGCTGGTGAGCGATCCTGGACTATGACCTTGTTCGTCGAAGAAAGGGATACGTTTCCGAATGAGGTTGTACAGATACTCTTGCCTGTACCGAAGCGCGACGTGTATAGCGATAAGATGACAAGCGAATCCCATGAAGAAGTAGGATACGAATGTTCCTCCAGCAAGCACTCCGAACATGCCTGCCCAGAAGTTACCCTCACTGACAAACTGATCCGGTGGGAGTGTAAAGACATTGATGACTTGTGCAAAGATCCAGGCTTGTAATGGCCAAGCGCTGCCACTGGCGAGGATACCAAGAATGGCGGTACTGAATAGAACCCAGTGATGGCGTTGCTCGTAGAGTAAGCGCCCAAAACTGTTCACCAGGCCTCGCTCTTTGTATTCCGGATTCTTGTCTTTCAAGATATTGTCGATCTTTTTTCCCTCCGCCGCAACTACACTGTCGGCAGTCTTGATTTGCATCAGTTCAGCTTCATCATTTTCGGCTTCCATGGCAATGTTTTGTGCATGAACTAGACCAGAGTAGACACCATCTTCGATCTTCACCAGGTCATCGTGAGTGCCTTGCTCTACGAGTTGTCCTTTGCGTAAGACAACAATCTTGTCCGCCCGTTTGATAGTAGAGAGACGATGGGCAATGACAATAGTTGTTCGGTTCTTCGACACTCGATCGAGTGCCTGCTGTACAATGCGCTCTGTTCGCACATCGATTGCGCTAGTCGCTTCGTCCAGGATCAGGATAGGCGGCTGCTTGATGATGCTCCTGGCAATTCCAATACGTTGACGTTGACCACCTGATAATTTGATACCGCTCTCGCCTACTAGGGTTTCAAACCCTTCTGGTAGCTTAGAAATGAATTCTTCAGCGTAGGCCTCACGACAAGCTTCCTCTACCATCTTCATCTTCTCTTCCTTCGACAGGCCTTGATACTTTGTTCCAGTAAGACCAAACGCGACATTATTGTAGAGCGTGTCGTTGAAGAGGAATGGCTCTTGCTGGACGATGCCAATTTGAGAGCGCCACCACTTGAGGTCGACTTGTCTGATGTCGGTGTCCCCAATCTTAACTGTGCCAGTACATGTATTGGGTCCAATATCGGGCTCCTCTTCTTTACTTTTGTCATCCTTAACCGGTTTTGCCTGTTTCTCCTGGCCTTTATCATTGGTACGCTTCTTGAACCATCCTGTCTTTTTGGGTGACTCTTCCCGCTTCGTCTCGTTATCTTGCGCAGAGGATTCGGAATCATCACGAGGGTTGTTCGGTGTGGGTAAGGCTGTTGTACCCAGAAGATCGTACCACCTTTGCACGAGACCGATAATAGTAGACTTGCCTGGCGGGTTAGGTAGGATGTCAGTATACATTCAGACCACCTTGGGGAACTGGGAAACTTACCACTTCCCGAAGGGCCGACGATAGCTGTGACCTTGCCAGCTTCAAATTCGAGATCGAGCCCTTGGAGGATTGGGACATTTGGTCTGCTTGGATATGAGAAAGCGACGTCCTGGAACGTGATATTGGCGTTGGCTGTAACGTCTGGTTCTTTCAGTCCCGAAATGTCTGCAACTGGCGCGTCGATAGTCTTGAACAACTCAGCAGCCGCAGACGCAGCTTTTGCAATGGCAACGATTGGGGTGACAACTCGTCCAAAGTTCATGATGGCCATCATAACCGCGAACAGGACGACAACGATAGAGCCGAGGTCGGTGTTTTTTCCCTCAGAGTACTGTTTGACGCCGAACCAAAAGGCAATAGCCATCGTGCCATACTGACCCACCATCATAGGTGCAAAAAAGAGCCCAGCTAGAGGTGCAGCCTTCTTGAAATTGTTAGTTCCTTTGGTCAGTAATTCTTCGTGCTGCCGTGCCAATTTGTCTTCAGCGCCAAAAGCGACGACGATGCGAATAGAAGAAAACATCTCAAAAGCCGTAGCAGATGCATCCTCGCTATACTTTTCCGTGATCTTGTTTATCCGTATGTATGGAGGCACGATGATACCCATGAGAATGAGGATGCATGGGAGCGAAGCTGAAGCGACCAAGGTAAGCAACGGGTTCTTGATGAACGCCACAACGTACGCTCCAATGACGAATGCAAACGATTGAAACATCATAGCAAACTGCTGTGATATCGCGATCTGGACTGTGTTTGAAGAAGTGGTGATCCGCGTGGAGACTTTCCCTGGGCTAATTGTGTCTATCACGCTGACAGGCTGTCGGAAGAGAGCCCGCAAGTATGCCAGGCGCAGTGCAGCAGAGATACGGAGGCCACTGATTCTGATACTGAGCTGTGGCACGGTTAGTATTTCAGCCATGCATAGAAGAGGCTTTCCCATACCATCGATATATAAGAAAGCACAAACTTCCCAATGAAGAGGTACACCAGGTACAATGTCAAGTCATCGACTTCATCTTGAAATTCGGACGCTGTGACACTTGTCCCTGGGGTGAAGTAATCGGTGAATGTCCCAACGAGTTGGCCTAAAGGCAGTCAGTAGACTGGAAGGTCACATTACTTTCTTTTTCGGGGATAGAAGCTCACCAAAGACTACGGTCATCAGGGGAAAAGCAATGCCTGAGCCGATTGATGTAATAATACACAGTATGAGAAGTAGATAGTCCAAACGGGTTCCGTAAGTAAAGACACGCTATGCATCCAATTCTCAGTTGAAGTAACGAATCGACAAAGATGGCTGTACTTACAAAGTAGTTTTTCAAGCCATCATCAGATGTCTTCGGTTTCGCAGAGACAGCTGCTTCATCCTCGATGATTTTCACATTGCCATCTTGCTGCGTCTTTTCGGACATGGTGGTTTGGGACATCTCGGCAGTGTTTTGTGCCGGAGAGGCAGAAATAGGAGGAGGCGGCGGTTCAACAGCCGTAGTGCTCATGGTGGTGAGGTATGAATGAGCGACACAGGGGTAGAGACTGTCCTCGCACCCCGGATTGTGGTATT